TTTGGAGGAGTGGGCTTTCCATTTACACGTGAGGGTCTGCTGCTTTGCACTTATTAACCGTTTTGTGTTTCTAGCAGCCATTCCTGGGCCTCCTGGTTACTCCCATGACTTTGTCCTGCCCCTGTGTGGTTGCTCAAACAAACAAACAAACAAACACTGCCCATAATCAGCAGCATGGAGCCCCAGACCTCACACCTGGTCCTTTCTAGAGGTTGAGGAGAAAAATGCTGTCAGTCAGATCCCAAAAGATTCCTGGGGGGTGACAGAAAAGGACACGTGATTTACGACACCCACCCACCTTCAAAAAGAGTTAGATAGTTAGATTGCAATGCTTCATGTTTGGGGCTTCCGCCCAGCGCCAAGACATTGATTTAATGGTTTTGGAAACAGAGAGAGGTGAATTATACCAACGATTTTTCTTTAAAGCTTTTCTTGGACTAAGCCATGACAGTATGTGACTGTAAGGTCGAGGCAAATTTGTTTTTCTGCCGTAGAAATGCAAAAGGGCACTTTGAATAAAATCAGGATGTTTAAATCATCTGTGGAATAGCAGAACTACAGACACAATCTTAGAGAAAATAAACAGAGGGGAAGCCGAGAGAAAGGGCTCCACCCAACCCAGGCAGCGATTTGGGAGTTTCAAAATCTGGAATTGTAGGCTTCTAGTCTCGGTATCAGGCAGTTTCAGCCAAGCTGACAGCAGGCACACTGAGAGGGGGCTAAATGTGTTTTCACAAAAGACGAGGGGCTTGCTGAGAAATTGAGCTGCTGAGCTGTGGTGCCCGTGCTGTTCCTGTCACACTCTGAGGGCTTCCTTTGGAAGCCTGAAAGAAAACGAGAGAACGAATGAAAGGAGCCCAAGCCCCATATACAGCTTTCTACGTGGTCATGGAATGGAAGGTGGGTTTTCACCTTATGAATAACTGTAGTCTACGAGATCATTGTCCTCCTCATCGACTCCATATTGAAGCTGAATTCTCCCCAACTGTTGTGAGGCAGGAGAGGAGCACCCAGAGTGAGGTCAACATTAGCATATTAAAGAAACAGTTGGCACAGACTGGAGGCTCTTTGCCACCACGGCCAACACGGAACAAATAGAGCATGAACAGAAAAGGCCCATGCTGTGTGAATGACTCCAAAGCCCAGGCTATAAAAACTGCCAGCAGTTTGTACAGTGTTTGCTGTTGAACCTCTAAACTTCCTCCCAGCTCTGGCCCCTTTCTGATCTTGGACGTGCATTGTTTCTCCATAAACAGCCCCTGCTTCTGCTGCTCCCCATGGGGCTCTGTCCAGGTTCTGGTTCTGGGACGAAAGAATTTGGAAACCCCAGTGAACATTCCCTGGATCCAGGATCCACCAACAGTTGGAAATTGGCTAATAGGAAAGTCTGGTGGGTTCTAACTAAGCCACATTAAACCTCGTTGCTTCCGCCAGGCATGAATGGTACAATGGTGGCCCAAGTTGGGGATGAAATGGCCATTTCTACCTGGATGGGGTGAGAAGAAGAAGGCTGATGGAGAGTTGTCTGGAAGAGTAGGTAGATAGATGTCAGGGGTTGGAAACACCAGACAAACAACAGAAAAGTAGGCTGCAGGCTTGGTGTGGCTGGCTGGCTCGGTTCTGGTTGTCGGAAGCAGGGAAGATGCAATAATAAGCCAGCCGCATGAGAAGCGGGGCCGATCACAGAATTCCCTGGTCTGTGCTACAGAGATTACTCTTTCACTATTTATTCAGTAAACACATATATTAAGAGCCTGCTAAATGTGACGTCTCAGGGAGACAGATATGTTGGGGCTTTTTGCTCTCATGGAGCTTTTAGTATAAACCGGGCAGGCAGACATTAAGCTGATGATCATATAATTAATTGTACACACAGTAAGTGCCTTCTATTTGAAAATTAATGATGTATTAAAGAGATTTGTAATGGAGAAATCTAATGTAGTCTAGGGCTCAGGAGTTCTCCAAGGAGGTAACAAGAAAGCTGATTACTGTGTAGGTACCAGGCAGCTTAAACAGTCTCATTTGGAGGGTTTGGAAAGAGGATTTGGGCAGATGTGACATGGGTGTGGTCTGGAAACTGAGTCAAGTGAGGTTTTATAGAAACAGGCAGGTGGGAACTCGGCAACCGATGCTGTCTGCACTGCAGCAAGGGGTGCAAGATGGAAGGTAGGTGACTGAGTTTATGTTTTGAGGGCAAAGGGATGGTGGGATTTTAGGCAAAGCTTTACTTCTGGGTGTGTCGTGTGTCCAGTGGCTGTCTTTGGAAGAGGCTAGCAATTGACTCAGTAGACCTACTGAAGACCACCGCCCTCCCAGGGGTAGACAGCGTCATCATGCACACCAAGGGACCAAGAAGAACAGCAAGGAAGAAGGAAGGAAGGAGTTGCTCTCACTTCCTGGTGGAACTTCCTTTTGCCTTTGTGATGAGGAGAAACTTGACAGGCAAGGCAGGGACTCCAAAATCAATCTGCTCTGTCCTGGCCAGGAGTCAGCAATGCTCTTGGTTCTATGGCTGTTTTGTCCCGGCTGGAAATGACAGAAATGTCAGTAATGTTTTGGCCAGGAGGCACTGCTTTGGTTCACGTCCTAGGTTATTTATGCACCTAATCTTTCTTCTATTGCGTAGAAACCTAATGAACACAGCTATCTGGAAGCTATTCATAAAGATGTACTCCACTGGTCCTTAAAGACTTGAGCCGGAATCCCAGCCCAGTCACCAGGATGGAGAAGCACATGGATAGCCTGTGGTTGGGCTGGCTAGGCTGACCAGCCCATCTCTCTCTATTTCTCAGCCCAGACATTTCAAAGACTTACTTACTTCTTTAGTAAAAAGTCTTATTAAGCCCCTACATGTAGCCCTCTCCTCAGACCTCTTCTATTGTCTATACTTGCTTTCTCTATATAATAAAGGTCCTTGTTGAACTTGCTCTTCACTGTGAAATTCATTGTTCCAGTTTGTAACACAAGGAACCTGGAATATCACTGATTTGGTAAAGGTTTTGGTGACAGTGACCCTGACCACTGAGTTAGGCCCACTTAAGACTAGAAGGTTGCCATCATCCTTAGGAACCACCATTTTCCCACTTCATTTGGACATCAGTGACCCTGGTTCTTAAGGCTGTGAACGCAGACAGATTCACAGTATCAGGCCTACCTGCTCTTAACTTTCATTGTTTGGATGGGGCTGTAACAGTGCCTTACACGGGCACCAGCTTGGAAAGTACAGCTCAAGGAACTCCTGTGTCCCAGCATCATGTTTGCCAGTTTCCCACAGTGAACCTTTCCTTGTATATCTCTAGGCACGCTGCTGGTTCTACTTCCTTGGAGACTCTTGGCTAATGCGAAATGTGTAGGCAGTTTGTGTAGTGTTGTGACAGATCTGGTGGGAGTGACAAAGAGAGGGCTAAAATTGTGGCAGAATGGACAGGGACCGTGGAATAGACTTGAAAGATATTTAGGGTCTGAACCGTTTGTCTGAATTCATGACAGCTAAGTGAAATGTGGGAATCATGGAGAGAAATGGCCAAAGAATAAACTAGGTATCTGGATGGAGGCCTTGTGTGAATGGTGAGATGAGGACACGGAGGACCAGATTTGGTGGGTGGCGGCGATTAGGGGAGAGAATAAGCTTGCCTGTGGCTATATTTACCTTGAAATTGGATAGGCCCCTGGATGTGAGCATTAAACCTTGAAAAGATTTCCGAGCTAGAGTTACAGAAATAGGAAATGCTAGCAGAGAGGTGGTGGTGGCTGAAGCCCAGACACCTTAGAATTCTCACATAGGAGTGTGAGTGAGAAGACTGGAAAAGCCAGGCCGGAGCCTTTTCAAGAGTGATTGAGGACTAGCAGTGACACCATGGGGTGGCCTAGGAGACGCTTAGTGCCCCTCCCCCAAACTCCATGACTTTCCATCTTCTATGCAAAGCTGAATGCAATACAAATTGTCTAGCCCAGATCCAGGCCGCATACCAACCGTCTGCACACAGCTGGCCAGGAACTCACACTGCACTTGTGTTTTCAAAGCACAGGACGGTGGTTCTCAACCCGTGGGTCGTGACCCATGGTGGGGGGGTTTGAATGACTTTTCACAGGGGTCAGATATTAGTGCCCTGCAGATCAGATATCTGCATTATGATTCATAACAGTAGCAAAATTACAGTTATGAAGTAACAATGAGATGATTTTATGGTTGGCAGGGTCGCCACGCCACGAGGCATGGTTAGGAAGGCTGAGAGCCACTGGGTTAGAGGCTCTCCAGATGAAGGAAATGAAAGAGAAGACTAAAGACTGTAAAATGGGTTTAATGGACTGACACCAGGATACTGTTGACTAACAGGTGGACTTTGGAGCTCATAATTGTGAAGAAAAGCGATGGTGTTTAGGCTCCAGGATGACTGTGCAGATTTGGGTAACTGCAGTTGAGGATGTGACCCTGGAATCCGAGTGGGAGGCTGGGTCCTGTCATGTAGATGTCTGACATCTGTCTTGCGCTGATTGTTGGAGCAGTAGGGCCCACATTTGCCAGAACATTCTATTGCCCACCCCGCAGAAGTTGTTTCAGTCTCATGCTAAGAGACCAAAGGATTCAAAATCAGTGGCTGTTATTTTAAAGTTTAAAGCACAAGGCTGAACTAAGGTCAGCCCAGTGGAGATACGTCCAGACACCTGGGAAAAGAAACCAGCTTAATGCAATCTTTCCTCGCCCACTAGTTATACAGTTGCTAGGAAACCGACCCATATGACCAGGCCAGAACTGTCTGTTGTCTTGGCGCCTAAAGTGGACCAATCATTGCGGTTTTGCCCTATAAAAACTTTGTTCCCCTAGACCGAGGGGCCGCATTCTTCTCCTGTTTCCACAGGAAGTTTGCATCCTGTGTTCGAAGGCGTATACAATTAAAAAAAAAAAAAAAACTCATGTATTTACAGCAGAGTCTATTCCTGGTCTTTTGGGGGTTGTGAACTGGGCACAGCACTGCCTGTTTCCTGCCTCTGTCTCCCAAGTACTGGGATGCCAGTATGTGCCACTGTGCCCAGTTTATATTATTTATGTAGTGCTGTGGATTGAAGCCAGGGCTTTATGTATGGCGAGCAAATGCTCTACCAACAGAGCTCTGTCCCCCAGCTATGGGAGGTTGCCATTTACCAGAGTTTACTTTTCATTGGTGGAGTGCTCCTCAGAATCTGAGGAATCACCATCACAGTATGATGGTGATGGCAAACTTTCCACATTTGGTAATTCCAGGTCTCTAAGGGAGTAGTGCCAGTTTGCTGACTCAGACTGGGTCCCCATGTCACTGTCATGTCCAAATGTGCCTTGGGTCTCAGGCTGTGACAGCTTATGGCCTGAGGATTGGATCCAGGTTGATATATTCTCAGGGCCAATGGAGTTAGAGCCACTTTCCAGGTGTGTCTCACACAAACAAGAGTCTGGACCAGAAATGAGAGGGTTTCCAAACTGAGCTTCCCCAGTTTCACATTTCTCTAGAGTCCTCTGTAAGGCGACGTCCTCAGCACTTTCTGCTGCTGTCACATTGTCCTTGTATTCTTCCAAAGTCCTGCTGGGGAGGGTCTGACTGGACCCACCATTCTCAACAGATGCCTGTTCTTCCGTCAAGCCCCTCATGTCCTCAGAACCCTCGGAACTGAGGGTAAACAAAGAGCCCTCATCTGAGTCAGACTCATAGTTGGCCTCCAAATCATAATGAGGGTCAAAAGGAGCGTCTCCCTGCACAGGCTCTTCTAGAACAGGAGCGACACGAAGGCCAGCGCCCCATCGCGGCATAAGGGAGCGCAGGTCTATATCTCCTGAGTCATCGTATAGGACCTTACTGTAGACATTGGAAAGCCTTTCCTCAGCATCGGCTTCCTGGAGGCACGGCTGCTGTCTGGCCAGCTCCCTAATGGAACTGCTTGCCTGCCTTTCCTCAGAAGATTCCATCTGTGAGCCCATGGCTCCCAGAGGTTCAGGGCACCCCCTTTCCTTACTGTTCCCAGCCCCTTGAGTGTTGGAGAAGGAAGCTACAGCGTCTCTTGACCGTGACGGTTGCAGTTCACCCCACCCATTGTCGATGGAGCTGGGGAAAGCTCTCAGAGGGCCAGCAATGGAAGATCCATCCATCACATCGTCAAGGGACGAATACTCCTGGGCCACCGTGTCATAATGTGATTCTTTGAGAACGTCGTCGCGATCCTGCCCGGCTGACCTCGGCTGGTGAGTATCAGTATTTGGAAGTCCATGGAGTGCAGTGTGGACGGCATGGCCATTTGGGAACACGCTGCCATCTCCACTTCTCAGCCGAGGGTTGTTCTCGCATGGCACTGGGCTCTGCTGACTACTGAGGGCCACTCTGCTGCTTCCCAGCATCCTTTGCAACACAGCACCATGTGGGACTGGCTCTGTCAGCCAGGAAGGGTTCTGGTTCTCGTAAAGATTTAGGTGGTGGGAAGCTTGGCGCAGCTCTGTCCCTTGGTGCTGGACATGTTGGGCAGCTTCGATGTCATCATAGAAGCCCTCGTTGGAATAGGCATTATCTGAGCCAGGCCTTTTCTTCAGACCTCCTTGTGACCATAATCTGTCAATATAGGGCCTAGCAAAAACCCCCAGGAAGAAAGCCACCACAAACGTGATGAACACTGACAGGCAGACAGCCAGGACAAGGTTCGGGGGATTGCCGTCCTCTCTGTCAGTGACATGTTCGTCCTGGGAGTCTCTGAGTTCTACGGAGGGCTGTGGCCGTATCTCCTCGAGCTCACCATAGCCAACCCGTGCCTCCTTTCCCAGGGTAGAGCGGTGCGTGTGCGTCCCTTCCTGGGGCCTCTCTGCTGTGCTCTGGATGAGGCTTTTCAAGTCACTCGTGCGAGGAAGGTGTGTGTCCCTAGAGATTCTGATCCGAGGAGTCTCCAGATAAGGTTTCTCCATCCCTGCAAGAGGGAGATGGAAAAACACACTGACTAGAGCTTGGAATAAGATGCCAGGCTTTCAGAACTTCTGTGAGCCCTCCTCAATCTTCATCTAGCTATATTTTCAAGCAAATAATCAGGTGAAAAGTAATGTTATTCATTCATTCATTCATTCATTCACTCACTTATTCATTCATTCCTATTCAATACCCATAGGGTGTATATGGAATACATCTTCATAAGACTGTTAGACATAGGTCTGCTACTCACAGGCCCAGAGGTTATATTTTTGAGGCCTCCTGTCTGCTTGGTACCCATGGGAGAAAAAAGCCAGATGAGAAGGTTAACACCTGTCTTCTCCTTCCTCTACACTCTTTAACTATTTCAAACTTGCTAGAACATTCTATTAACCCTCTATTACGTCTGCTTCTGCCTTACTTGTTGTAGGCTTATATTAGATTATATGATTAGATTATATTATTCTCCAGTTTTGGAAAACGGCAAAACACCCAGCCTTCTCTTCTGCGCTATATGCTCAGAGTGCCAGTCCTGTCTGATGACTTCTCTATTCTTCATGACTATGTCTTCTAGACTGGGTAGCCATGGCCATGACTCTGCTTTCAGGGCAGACCCAAAAAGGTCAGAGCCCAGGTCCTTTGTCCTAAACATTGTTCTCAGGATAGCAGGGGATAAACGCTTCTCAGTTTGTCTCCCTTGGTGGTATAATCTGCTTGTGGGAGAGGGGTAAGGATCAAATCAGATGAAACTTTACTTTGAAAATCTGTGTGCATGTATTCTACATGGAAGTCACGCTGTAGAGGTTAGGAAGCATTTGGAATAATGTTTCGGATTCTACAGCCCTTTCTTTAATAGATCATCAAGAACTGGGATGAACGTGTGGTACATTGGGAGCTTCCAGGCAAAATTCTTTTCTAGCTAAAGAGCTGTTTCGTGTGTATGTCTCTTTGACCATGTGAAGAAAACTGTCAGGAGCTAAGGAAAACAGTAGAGTGTCAGTTATGGTCCTGTGACTCAGCCCAGTGCTGGCTGAGGTGGTGAGATTTTTGAAAGAAAATGGCCTCCGTAGGCTCATAGGGAGTGGCGCATCTAGGAGGTGTGGCCTTGGTGGAGGTAGTGTATTACTGGGGAAAGGCTTTAAGGTCTCAGGCGCTCAAGCCAGGCCCAGTGTGGAATTCTCTTCCTGTTGCCTGCGGATCCAGATGTGGAACTCTCAGCTCCTCCGGCACCTGTCTGCCTGCACTCCATCATGTTTCCTACCGTGATGACAATGGACTAAACTTCTGAAACTGTAAGCCAGCCCCAGTGAAAGGTTTTCCCCTGTAAGAACTGCTGTGGTCATTTGTGTCTCTTCAGAGCAATAGAACAACAACTAGGACAGGTGGATACCAATAGCCTTGCTTTTCAAGAGACTGCTACTTTTAAGTGTCCTTTTATAGCATTTTACAGGTCAAATGTAACCATTTCAGAGAGAGAGAGAGAGTCCACTCACCCACAGACATATTGCAGATGGCATTCCACTTTTCCCTCCAGGACACAGAGGTGATGTTTTGGAAGCTGGCATTGTTCTCACCACATAGTGACTGGTTATCAGGCAAGTCAAGTTTCAGGTGGGGCAATTCTAGAACAATGGCCACAATTGGTACAGGGGTGGTCAGCGCATTGCTTCTGAGGTCTACCACCTGCTTGAAAAGAAACAAATGTAGGTTGGTCTGTTCACAAAGACAATAAGTTTAAAAAATATATTTTATGACTGCATATATATGTAACTCCATATGTCTGTACATACATACACATATGTATATATACATATATACACATATATACGTATATATACACATATGCATATATGTGTGTATATGTATATATGTATATCTGTACACATACATGGCGTTACACAGAGATACTTCTAACTCTATAAAAGCAATACAAATTCAGGTCTGGCAGAAAAGTCAGTGAACACTGGGCTTGAATCCCTGCTCTGTCCACAGAGCCTCTGTGTCTTGGCAATTGTTTGCTTTCTGTGAGCCCAGAGTTGCTACATGGGTTAGATGCTTATAAAAAGCTTTCCAGACATTTCATCTTCTTTGTTTCTTATGAGTTATAACCTATGACAAAAACCCAGACTCACATGCTATTATCATTCAGACTTGGAGCCAGGTCAAGGATTTCTCAAGACATGGTCATCTTGGAAATAGCAAAGGATGGTGAATGACGAGGCCACGGAACCCAGGAGAATTGCGGTTGTGTTAACTCAGATAGTAGCATACTTTTTTTTTCTTGTGCCTTTCTGGCTGGCTGTTGAGCATCTGCAAGATGACTCATTCTGCAGAGTTAGAAATGCATGGAGAACCAGGGGCCAGAAATGATCCAGTGGCACAAGTGGCAGGCCAGACACGGCAGTGCTCGAGACAGCAGGGAAAGTCACGGTGGGTGTGGCCGTGGCGACCGCTGCACTGGTATGCTGTGTATATAGCACCTCACTCTCCCAACAACTCCCACAGTTCCCCTTTCACGGAGGAAGAAGTTCGGCTAAGCCGCACAGTGTATCCCACACAGGCCAGGCATAGGGGTCGGTATCAGAACAGGCACGCAGTACAGAACGGAGAGCGTAAATCTGCTGTGGTGGCACACAGCTGTCATCCCAGCACTTCCGAGTGAGAGGCAGGAGGATCGAAAGATAAAGGTTAGATAAAATGCCAAATTTGAGACCATTCTGAGCTGCATAAGACTGTCTCAAACAACAACAACGAATGGAAATGCTGAATAATTAAATTTCAAACTTGCAGTGATTTCTGACCTTGGAGTTATGTATCTTCACTTCAAAGCACTCCCTCTCCGAGCTATCACATTGGTGTGAAGGAGGTATTTAGAGACTCTTGCTTGGCCTGTTGTTACTCAGGGTCAAAAGCTTCTCCCTTGGGTGCCTTGTCTCAGCATCACACCAAGTTATCATGTTTTCTGAGTAGACTTGTGTGTGTGTGTGTAGTTTTCTGAGACACAGTTTCTCTCTGTAGCCTTTGCTGTCCTGGATCCACTCTGTGGACCAGGCTGACCGCAGACTCACAGAGCTCCACCTGCCTCTGACTGCCCTTCATGCGGGGGATCACAGGAGTGTGGCACCACGCCCGGCTGCATCTTAGCATTTTTAAATTCCAAAGCACGGAACGGAAAGCCAGTCTGGAGGAAAGAAAATGAATGAAATGATTCAGGAAGAATAATGTCTAAGAAAAGAAGAAAACAGAATTGTAACTTAGCGAAAGAAATTCCCATCCTGCAGCGTTTGAAAGGGACGTATATTCCAGGAAGCCTGGGAGACAGGCAATGTATTGCAGCACAAATCACCACGTCTAAGAAGAACGAGGTAAGATTAAGGAAAGAAAAGCTAATTTGAAATGTCAGTGAAGCTTATTTCGTCCACTTTAGGTACACTGATGGATTTATGTTTTAAAAATCTATTCGGCTTCTGGGAAGGTGCCGCCACGGGAAGATAGACACAACGGTGCAAATGTGAAATTCGTCTTCTGGAGGGAGAAAGGCAACCACTGTGGTATTCAGCTTTCTGGAACCAAACATCTTCATCGTGGTCCACAGCCAGAGATTGGAGTTATTGCCAACCACACAGAAGGGAGACGCCGGAGCAGGGGACTGGATGAATATTCCCACTTCTGGTGAGTTGAGGCTTACGGCTGTATTCCAAACATGCTCAGAGCTCATTTATAGCTTGCCTATGCTATTTTTTTTTTTTATCCTTAAGCCTCAAAGACTCACAAGGTACAATAAAAGGCACAAGAGAGGAACACACGGGACAAATTCCACATACAGAAGAATCCACCACCCACAGCCCAGTACACACTAGTTAAGGCAAGGATCTTGCCATTGAAATGGGGAGCACAGCCAAGTGAAGTGGGCTCTTTTGCTCTAATAACTGCCATGGCAGACAGACTCCAGAGTGGTCCCCCTTGACGCTACCTTCTGGCATGCAGGCCCTTAAGCAATCTCTTCTCTCCAGTATAGATGCAATATGCGGTTTGGTTTCCAGCCAGCTGACTCCAGCGGCAGCAATGGGATGCCGCCTTCATAGCGGCATTCCATAAAACACAGGGCAGAGATTGCCAGCGAGACCACTGCCTCCAAAGCAAGATGCTATATCATGGAGAGACTGGAGAAGGGCAGAAGCCTGAGGGCAGACAGCTTTGGTAAGAGCTGAACCCTCAGTCCAACTGCCCACTAAGGAAGTTTTGCCCACCTTGCTTAGGTGACCATTCTCCCTTTAGTGTGGCTTTCAGGTGACACTCTGACCACGATGCCAGGGCAGTCTCTCGAGTGACCATGAGGAGGAGGCCTCTCAGCTAAGCCATGTCTGCATCCCTGCCCCACAGACATTGTGAGGTGATGGATGTGTGTGGTTTTAAGCTACAGAGCTGTGGCAGTCATGATTGACAACTAACACAGCTACTCAGGAGCCTCACCCAGTATCCACCCCTTTGTTTCAACCCTGCCAGCACCACCGTAGTGAGGAAATTTGCAGCCACGTTGAAGGCTTGTGAACCGAGAGACTAAGCAAAACCTCTTCCAGGAAGTGCCAGTCAACCAAAGCTGGAAGGGTACATAGCCCTGGTTCTTTCTGGTAAAGGGGAAGAGCAAGTTGGGGGCAGAGGAGACCGGAGTGCAAACAGGCAGGACAGTAACTTGCAAGGGGACAGCAATGCACCAAGGGAGAGCAGCTTGAACTGGGGCTGGAGAGGCATGCGGGGTTCAGGCTTTGGCTGTGAAAACCTTGAACGAGTTCTAAGCAAGAGGAGGGGCACAGGCAGACTTGTATACTAGAGGAGAGCTTGTGTCGCCCCAGGTTGTGTTCTGTGTGCTGTGCACACAGTTAAGCTTGTCATTCTCATAAGGCACCGTTACACAAATGGGGGCCTAAGAGCCGGAGATATGGTAGCTTGCCCGTGATGAGGCTGAAATTGGTGGAGTCTAGTGGGCTGGATTCCAGGCGGTGAGAGCCCCACCTCATCACTGCTTCCCCAGTCTCCACTCCACCAGGGTTCCCGTAGCCGTTAAGGTTGGAAATGAGAGGCAGAGGCTCATCTTTAATTACACTTTATGCGATGCTGGGGAAGTGCCTGCTGTCCTTGTCCAGGCTGCCTAACATGATAGCCACTGGCCACCTATGGCCACTGAGCGTTAAAATACAGAGATAAAAAACAATAGAGCTTGAAGGCTTTGTTTGAAAAAAAAAAATGGAATGTAAACTATTGCCATAATAATTTTATGTTACTTATACATGTAAAAGATACTATAATGGGTTAAATAATGTACAGTATTAAAGGGAAACTCTTCCCCTTTTAAAAAAGGATTCGTGTTTTATTATTTTTAACTATGTGTAAGTATGTGCACATGCGTGCGGTGCACACAGAGTCTCTGACCCCTGAGCTAGAGCTACAGCTGGTTGTGAGTCACCTGACATGGGTGCTGGGAACTGAACTCCTGTCCGCTGGAGGAGTGGTGCATGCTTTTCATCTTTAAAGTCTGGCCACTGGAGCATTTGAAACTGCACGTGTGCCCCACCTGTTTGTAGCGAGCAGCAGTGACCTAGAAGAGGATGGGCGTGTGTGCTGGAGGTTATGGAGATGGGGGCTGAGGAGTCTCTCAGAGTCACTGGTGGCCCCTCAGCCGTGTCTGAGCTGAGGGCCACTGACAGGTGCCATCGCACCGTCCCCATTGAGGAGAAGAGTGCTTACCAGAATGGGACTGCAGGGTTCCGCAACTCCAGCCCCATCAGGGAGACACCTTGCAAGGCTCACAGCTCTGGGATGTGACGTAGTTGCCCCACTGGGGGTGGCAGTGGTGTTTAGAATAGCATGTGGCCTGTGGTGAGTGGCCACATGTGTGCCCTATCATCACTGTTGTTTTTACTGCCCATGTAGGCTTTGGACATGAAAACTGCAGGGTCCTGGCCAGCAGCAGCCCACTTGGTGATGACGTCTTAGCGTTGGCCACAGTGGCTCAGAAAGACCCCCCAGTGCTCCAGTTTGTGCAAGAGTCCTGGCGCCTCTGACTGAACTTGCAGCCTAGGTAGGTGGCTATTTGTTTGTTTGTTTGTTTGTTTACAACAGTGTCTCATTCTGTAACCCTGGATGGCCTGGAACTCCTTACCAGGCTTGAAACCAGGCTGGTTTCAAACTCTTGAATAACATATTTACTTTCCTGCCAGCTGGAAAATAGAGACTTGGGGTTGAATTAATTTGATTTGGATAGATAATATGCCATTTTTTCCTTCCTTCCTTTCTTTTTTATACAGGGTCTCTAGCATGCCAGCTGGCCTTGAACCTGATATGTAGCTGAAGATGGCCTTGAACTTAATGACCCCCCCCCCCCCAGAACAGAGCTCAATGCTAGGGATGGAACCTAGTGTGTGCATTATTTTGGCAGGCACTCTATCAACGTAGCCATATCCAGCCTAATATGTGAATTCCTGCTGCTGAGAATTCTCATTGAGTTTATGTCCATTGTTGTAGTCTTTAATTTTTGAGCAATAGACTTCAGTTGTTTTAGGAGGTCTTAAATGGACTATTTGCACACAGCCTGTACCCCTGCACACAGAGGAAATAGCCTTCTAATCTAGTTGGCCACGAGCCTGTATATTAAAGACAGTTGTAAGAAAGATTTTAGAACCTGTAATTTTTTGAGCCCTTTGAAGGCATCTGGGTGGATCGTGCGTATCTTGTTTTTCTTTAAATAGATGGTCTTCAGCTGCAGGCAGCCATGGAAATCAGACAGCCCGACGTGAACTATCCCGTTGAATGACAGATCCAGACTCTGCAATGACTTCAGCTTCCACAGTCCTGTGAAAAGGAAAAGCAGATTAAAACCTAAACTGGTGCTATTTGCTGCTGCGTAGTGTGTGGCGGAAAACCGGCGATATTAATGGCTCTCGAGTGGGAAGCTGTCAGAGTGTATTAACACTATGAAAACACATGAGTGGTCTTAAGAGAGACTAGGCCCAGTCAGCATGTGAACTTATTGAACAGGAAGGGGAAAAATAAAGTCAAAGAAGTGTAGGATGTGACCACAAGGTTCTTGTGATACATGTATAAACGTGGGTAGGTGTGTATTTAGAGTGGGCAGAAATACGGTGAGTCAACATTTAACAGTCATTGCAGTTTGGTATGGGATGGCTGAGGAAGGGGAAGAGGAACATGAAGAAAGCTTTCTTTCAACTTTATGTACACTGGTTCTTTGCAAATGAGCACCGCTACTTCTGTGACACATTCACTTGTTAATTTCTGTATCTGCTGTGTGTTTCTATGTGTACGGCACAGTGCCTGTGTGGAGGGCAAAGGTGTTGTTCTGTCCTTCCTCCATAGGCCCCCAGGATTTGAACACAGATCATCAGGCATGGCTGCCGCCACCTCTTTTTTTTTTTTCTTTAACCTGCTCAACTGTCTCACTAGTCTAGTGTGTGTCCTTTATTTAAATTAAAGAATCGATTAAAAAAATCTAACCATGATTAAGGGAGGTGACGAACAGATGTTTGTTAATTTGATTAACTGTGACTAAAACTGAATGATATCCCTATGATAGCACAGGAAAAAGTCATCGTTTATTATTATATAAACGAATTCTTCCGATTATGACGTTTTACTATTCAGTTTTTACAGCTTTTTTTTTTAAATAAAATGACAATCTAATGTGTTCAGTCTACGTGGTCCTGTATTGTATAAGAATATTTTTGTGTCAGTTTATAGTGATGTTTCCAGCCCCTCCCCCACCCCACTTGTCCCCTTTGTTCTGTTGGACCATTCTGATTCTCCTTCCATGTCACACATACGCATTCATTTATTTTTAGCTATATCCAGTCTCATAACTGTTTGCTATTGGTATTATAACTATTTTTTAAGTACTGTTGGATTTTTTTTTTTTTAAGGTAAAGAGATGACAGGTAGAGTTTGCTTTCCAGCACAAGAATCAGATGGAATTTTAGCCTCTGCCTTTGTGTTTCTCTTTGTTCTGGGAAGTATGCAAAAGATCCTGTTGGCACTGAGAAGGTAGACGGAGAGCGAGGTGCCAGCCACAGCAGACTTGCGAACTTAATTCCCAGATGGGTCTCCCAGGGAGGTGCTTGCAAGTTCAAGTTTTCGTCAGCGCTGTTCTCCAACGTGGGACTGAGTCTTTAACTTCTCTGTAGCAGATCAGGTTGGTTCAGTTCCAGAAGGGTTTATTTCTTCCCTACTGTCTGCAAGGTACTGGCGGCAGGACTGATTATAAGGAGAGAGGGTAGCGTAGCTGAAATGGGTACAGCACCTAGATGGTCATATGTTCACTTGAGTCGCAGAGATCAATCAAAAGAGCTTTAAAGCAATGAGTCAGTCAAAAGACGACGATGGAGACGCTTGGTGAGGATGACAAATCCTCACCCTGGAAGCCTAGTAGGGTGAAATGATGAGACACGCAGACAAGAAACATTACTTTAGACTAACTGGATCACCATGCATACAAGCCCTCTCTACAACTGGCTATTGGTCTGTCCTCTAGACTATCAAATGATCAAATCTTTTCTGAGCAGAACGATGTGAGCCTTTGTGATGCTTGGGATATAGTGTTTGGCCTACACAGAGATCCAAAATCACCGAGCCAACGTTAAGGAGTCAATACAGAAATCTGCATCTCTGGCTTCTCTGGAAAGATTAGAAGTTCCAGCTGGTGTAAGACATTTGGCTGGAGCTGAATGAAGGCTGCCTGCTTTAGGAAACTATATTTAAAAAGCATGAGGGAGGGCCAAAGCTGATATTCATTTAGCAGACATGTGTGTTGAAATACTTGATGTTACTTTGTAAAGGTCTGTGCCTAGAGTCCCTGTATGCTGCCCTACTGTCCTGGCACTCCCATACCTCCTCCCAACTCTGTTCAATTCTTCCCTCCCCTCTTTCTCTGCTCCATCACTAGTGCCAGGAGCCATCCAAATGGGGGTTTGGGAGGAAGGCCAGTTGGACCTCTAGAGTTGAACACAACCTCTATAAAGAAAAGGCATTTCTTTGTGCGGAGGATATCCTTCCTGTTTAAATGTGCAAGCATAGGGGACTAGGAGGGGACATATAAGACAGCGATGGGAAAAGCGCTACAGGGCTTCTGATGTTTTCTTATGAATTCTTGCTTCCTAAAATATCCTAATGTTTAACTGAATTGACTAAGTTTTGAGGAGCTCAGTAGAGGGAGACCACACACTAGCTTTGAAAGGCAGGGAAACAACTATCTGAAGCTCCTGTTTAATTGTGTACTCTTTTTTCTTTTTCTCTTTTGGTTTTTTAAGCCAGGGTTTCTCTGTGTAGCCTTGGCTATCCTGGAACTCACTCTGTAGGAGAGGCTGGCCCGGAACTCAGAGATCTGCTGGCCTCTGCCTCCTGAGTGTTGGGACTAAAGGCGTGCACCACCACCACCCAGCTAATCATGCACGCTTTATGCTCTAAGCACTTCACAGATCTTTCGTATTTAGTGATCACAAAGTCCTGGGGTTCTTGCCATTCATACACAAAACACCAAGGCAAGAACGTTTCCAATGACAGAGAGGAAGGAGCTGGATCAAAGCCCAGATCTCTTAGCCATCCATTACTATTAGCCATTCACTGTGACTGTGCCTCAAAACTAAACACAACCACAAAATAGACATGAGCAGCAGCTACCAAAAGAACTGTAAACAGTGTAGAAAGGGGGAGAAGCAGGCAGGATTCTCCTAAGAACTCCCTGGGTGTCTTAGTCACTGGTCTGTTACTGTGAAGAGACACCATGACCAAGGCAGCTCTTATAAAAGAAAGCATTTAATTGGAGGCTTGTTTATAGTTTCAGAGCTTTAGTCCTGTATTATCATGGCAGGGAGCATAGTAGCCTGCAAGCGGCATAGGGCTGGAGAACTAGCTGAGAGTTCTACATCCAGATCTGCTTGGAGAGAAAGAGAGGCAGGGTCTGGCTTGAGCTTCTAAAGCCTCCCGGTGACATATTTCCAACAGGGCTGCACTTTCTAATCCTTCATATAGTGTCACTCCCTGGAGACCAGGCAGTCAAATATATGAGACTATGGGGCCCATTCTTACTCAACCCCCCACAGTCTACTCCCCAGTCTCTATAGGATTAGAGCCACATCACAGTGCAAAACTACATTCAGCTTCAGAATCCCCATAGTCTGTCACAGTCTCAATAGTGTTTACAATTCCAGAGTTCAAAGTCTCTTCAAGACTCATGGCAGTCTCTTAACTGTAAGCCCTATAAAATCAAAATGAAAAAGCAGATCACATACTTCCAACATACTATGGCACAGGATATATATTACCATTCCAAAAGAGAGAAAAAGGAGCATAGTGAGGAAATAATGGACCAGAGCAAGACCTAAAACCAGCCTGAAAAAACTGCAAATTTTCATCTCCATGTCTGATGTCAAAAGGCTCTTCAGATCTCCATCTCCTTTCATCTTTGTCGACTGTAACACACTTCTCTTTGGCTGATTCTACTCCCTGTTAGCAGATCTCCTTGGAAGGTATCCCACGGCTCTGACATCACCAACATCTTGAGGTCTGTGATAAAATTAAGGCTTTGTTTTCACAGCCTCACATAATGTCTTCTCTGGGCCTCCACACAGGGACATCCCCGGCACACAGGAACTTTTACTTAGCCACAGAGGGAGATTCAACAACCCTTTTCTTATATCCTTGGCTCTTAAAGCCAGAACCATGTGGTCAAAGCCAACAAGTTCTGCTGCTTGATGGGGATGGAACTTAGCCCCTTGTTCCATTACATCTGCAGCTGCTTTCTGTTGTAGATGGTTTTCTTCACTGCCCAAGCTTTTTAAAAATTCCTTGTCACATGTTGGAAGCTTAGCTGGGTGGAGTCTTGCCCTGAGCTCACCACTCTCTTTGTTCCATTTAGCATCAGGCTTTTCTTTAAACTTTGTGTCGCCTTGAGCACTGGATTTAGCTCTATCACATTTCCTGTGGTGCGCTCTCTTTCTCTCTGTCTTCTCACACTGTACATTTTGCACTTCTCCTTGTTCCATATGCTCCTATTCAGTGTAGATCTGCGTACGAGTGACCATCAGTGACTGTGTGACACAGTTAATGCTAGGCTGCCTTGAAATCTTTTCTGCCAATGCTGTTAATTCAAAATGCTGCAGTTTAGCCTAAGGCAGATTTCTAGGACAAGGGCAAAAAGCAGTCACATATTTGCCAAAATGTCACAAGAATGGTCTCCAGGCCACTTATTAACATTCTTCCCCTCTGAAACTTCTTAAGCTGGGCCCCCACAGTTCTAGTTTCCCTCAGCACTGTCTTCCATGCTTCTACCGGGATTGGCAACTAAGCCCCATTTAAAGGGTCCAACTGCTTTCCTAGTCCAAAGTCCCAGAGTCCTCCATGGTCCCCTAACACATCACGGTCAGGCGTGTCACAGCAATACCTCAGTCCCTGGTACCAGCGTCTGTCTTATTTTATTATTTTATATGTATGAATTTTTTTGCCTGTATGTATATACATCCTGTGCATTCCTGATGCCTGTGAAGTCAGAAGAAGGTGTTGGGCCCCTGGGACTGGACTTACAGATGGTTATAAGCTGCCATGTGGGTGCTGGTAATTGAGCTTGGGTCCTCTGTGAGAGCAATAAGTGCTCTTAACCTATGAGCCTTAACTCAAGTCCTGGGTGGATCATTTAATATATGCAATTTGATCAAGCTTTTTTTTTTTTATATTAGATTGTCACTTTAGCTAGATTCTTACTGATTGCTTGTCTCCTAGATTTATGGACAAGGGATGTTGAACTGTCATTGTTTTTCAAGAATTCTTATGTTCCATCGTTGAGTTCA